CTAATTACATATTATCATTTAACTTTTATCACTGGTGTGTCACAGCTTATGCATGATCCAGCTGACAATGCATTGCATTAGCATACGGATAAATCATTAAGCCCTGAGATTTGGCCAGCTGGCAGCCCTGCAGCACAGGACTTGAAATCTCTTATTCCCATACGATGAAGGTTAAATGTGGCAGTGAAGTCTCCTTCCAAACCCCATGCTTCATGGCATAACTTGGCTTTATGTGCACAAATGTGGCCAGAGACACAAGACATTAATTCTGCTCCTTTCTGGTTCAACCACTGATGTAGGCACCACTAAATTCTTCATGCAATGACCATCTCAAGCCCAAATGTTTAGAAAAAAAAAAACCAATGTCACAATTTCTTGCAAGTTCCACAAACTTACTTCTGTTCATACATGTGAAGTCTGTGCACTGGTGCAAAAATCTTTTGATAATTTTAGTTGCTGATATCAACTTTCCAAATTTTTCAATTATCTTGAACCCTGTTTCATTGCCACCACAATCTTCTTCTCTTTTTCAGCCATTTCACACAGGGTTTAACAAATACACTTCTGCACTAACTGACTACAGTGTACTGGAACTGAAAAACAGTGGCAAGACAGACTTCAATAAAGATCAATAACATGCAAACCTCTCCTCACTCCCTCCTCTATTTGTCCTCCCTTTAACCACCTACCAAACATGCTGAAACCCAAGCACGCAAATGGATGCAAACATACTTCACACACATCCTGTTTCACAAACAAGCGCAATTTTATAAATCAACAAATCAGAAAAGAGAAATCTGCATGGTAAGTCGTCACTAACTGGATAATCAGAAGTACACTGTACTATTATTACATCACAAACTGTCCACTGTAAAAGTACCGAATATCTGACATCACAATGTTTCCCGAGTAGACTCAGCTACCATTTTCAGGTTACCATTATATCAACCCAGTGATCTAGTAGTTAATGTGCTAGCAAAGAATTAAAAAGACCCTTTAAACCCAAGCATTACCACTAATCTTACAACCGAGAATAAATAAAAATCTGTCAGTATAATGACAACCAGTGACCTGAAGACAGGAATACAGCTAAACTATTGAAACATTAAGAAAATCAAATATATTTCAATAGACAATGTTCAAACATAATAAATAATTTACCTATTGACCCATATAAATCATAAACAATGCTAGAGAAAGAAACTCTTTATGTTTTACTCCTTACGCACTACATTTTTCAACGCATCTTGACCAATTTAAATCCAATGTTTAATTTTCTCACATTGTTTATCTGCTCTAATTAAACCTTCAAGAAGAGATAAACATGGAATGCCACTTCAGCGTCAATTATCGTTACGCACGGTGTCGTATGATCCAGCTTACCGGAATCTGCCAGATCATCGTTCGCTCGTTGATGGATATCCCTTTGCGTTTCCATCTTGTAATCGTCTGACAGACCATCAACTTTGTGGATAAATACTTCAAACCTAATACCCTGGTTAACCTTGAAAGCTTTTGTTACTGTGAGATGAAGTTTGTTTAATGCCTCCATATAATCATCCTGAAATTAAACATGTCAGATTAAATCAACTAATACCCACCACCACATTTCTCAATCACAAATAACACTAGCCCACGCAATTTCTAAAATAAACTTTATTCATCTTAATCAATACAATACTTTTATTCACCGTCTTTACACAAGCTTATAGATTGTTAAAATCACATAAAATTATAACATTTCAACATTTGATATTGTTACATTTTAAAATGACGACATGTTTCGATGTTCATTCCATCATCGTCAGGTCTATCAATCAAAATTAAAAACTGTTGCATCTGCTGCTCTGCGTATACTGATTTTGTTCTACCCGTTAGATTTTATTTGTTTAACCTCCAGGCTTCTTCCATTTAATTTTGAGGGCTGCGCCTGGATGCCTTAAATCTGCAAAATCAATTTTAATTTTCATATCGTGATCCTGGCTACTGACATAGGAAATGGAATAATTTTAAAGAATTACTCAATATATCGTAATACAAGCAAAAGAAAAGTAATCACAAAATATTTAAAGTATTATAACATACCGGGTTGGGTGTGAGGTGCGTGTCCGATATTACGGAGCTGTAGACTGCAACTAAGTCTCAAGACTTGGGACGAGTGACTTCTCAAGACTTGGGACGAGTGACTTCTCAAGACTTGGGACAAGTGATTTCTCAAGACTTGGGACAAGGACTTCTCAAGACTTGGGACAAGTGACTTCTCAAGACTTGGGAGTCTAGTCGTGATAGGGATGGGACAGGTCAAATTTAGAAGGAAATTTAGAAGGTAGTCTCGTGTGTGAATCACGTACGTCATTGCTAAAATAAACCCCTGCCTTGTCTTGGAAGTGGAAGTGTCAATGACTGATTTCAAATCAGATTAAAATTTCAAAACTCCTTTGCGTTCGTCGGACTCCGTGAGAGACAATAATAACTCTACATGATCGGAAAAATCAACTACCTTTGCACTACAATAATTTTATTCACCGTCTTTACACAAGCTTATAGATTGTTAAAATCACATAAAATTATAACATTTCAACATATGATATTGTTACATTTTAAAATGACGACATGTTTCCATGTTCATTCCATCATCGTCAGGTCTATCAATTAAAATTAAAAACTGTTGCACTTGCTGCCCTGCGTATACTGATTTGTTCTACCCGTTAGATTTTATTTGTTTAACCTCCAGGCTTCTTCCATTTAATTTTTGAAGACTGCGCCTGGATGTCTTAAATCTGCAAAATCAATTTTAATTTTCATATCCTGATCCTGGCTACTGACATAGGAAATGGAATAATTTTAAAGAATTACTCAATATATCGTAATACAAGCAAAAGAAAAGTAATCACAAAATATTTAAAGTATTATAACATACCGGGTTGTGTGTGAGGTGCGTGTCCGATATTAATCTACCAAATACGTTTAACATAACAAATTCTATAAAATTAATAAACGAAATCCAACAATTGAATTTTCATAATAATAAAATTATACAAATTTGTTCTTTTGACATCAATAATATGTATACAAATATTCCAACAATCATGCTACGAGATATTGTAAGAGATATTCTAAATAGACAGAATATAAATACAGATCTAATAAATGAAATTACAAATATAACTAACATTATTATTAACCAAAATTATTTCCAATTCAACAATGAATATTGGAAACAAGAAACAGGGTTACCCATGGGAGCTCCAACCTCGAGCATATTATCTGAAATATTCTTACAATATCTCGAGCATGATTATATAGTAAATATATTAAACAAATATCAAATCAAATACTATAGTAGATATGTTGATGATATACTCATGATTTTTGATGCAAAAAATACAAATATAAAAAATGTTTTAAATGAATTTAACAACATAAATCAAAATATACAATTCACTTTAGAAACAGAACAAAATAACAAATTAAATTATTTAGATCTAACTATAATACGAAACGAAAACAACTCTGAATTCAAAATATACAGAAAACCTACAAATACAAGCACCATAATTCATGCCTCTTCATGCCATCCAAATGAACATTAACAAATGGCTATTAATTACTTAATAAACCGAAAAAATACATATCCCATGACCACAATAAACAAACAAATTGAATGTAACATAATAAAACAAATTCTAATAGAAAACGGATATAATAATTATGAATTAAAACCCAAAAATAAAATAAACAATATAAACAACATAAATGAAGACGGAAACGAAAATAAACAAAACAAATGGGCCACATTCACATATATAGGAAAAGAAACCAAATATATAACAAAAACATTTAAAACAAATAACAAAAATAGCATTTAGAACAAAAAACACAATAAAAAACATCTTGAAACAAAAGCCACAAATAGACACAACAAATCAATACGAAAAACCAGGCATATATAGGTTAAAATGCAATGATTGCCCGTTAACCTATATAGGCCAAACCGGACGCACCTTTAGTCAAAGATACAAAGAGCATATTACAGCAATTAAACACAATAAAGATCATTCAGCATATGCAAAGCATATATTAAACACAGGACATACATACAACAAAATAGAACAAACAATGGACATTATAAAAATAATACAAAACAAGCGACATAGAGACACCATAGAAAAATATCATATACAAAGAACACATAAACAAAATCTTGCATTAAACGACAGTAACATCTACACGAACAATCCGATATTTAACATTCTACAGTCCATCGACCCAACCCCCTAAACAACTTTCACCCAATATATATAGCCATACACGATACTCACAGCTTAGTTGCAGTCTACAGCTCCGTAATATCGGACACGCACCTCACACACAACCCGGTATGTTATAATACTTTAAATATTTTGTGATTACTTTTCTTTTGCTTGTATTACGATATATTGAGTAATTCTTTAAAATTATTCCATTTCCTATGTCAGTAGCCAGGATCAGGATATGAAAATTAAAATTGATTTTGCAGATTTAAGGCATCCAGGCGCAGCCCTCAAAATTAAATGGAAGAAGCCTGGAGGTTAAACAAATAAAATCTAACGGGTAGAACAAAATCAGTATACGCAGAGCAGCAGATGCAACAGTTTTTAATTTTGATTGATAGACCTGACGATGATGGAATGAACATCGAAACATGTCGTCATTTTAAAATGTAACAATATCAAATGTTGAAATGTTATAATTTTATGTGATTTTAACAATCTATAAGCTTGTGTAAAGACGGTGAATAAAAGTATTGTATTGAAGAACACAAGCATGACGCAATTAAGATATAAGTCATCTTAATCAGTAAAACAATACTTAGTTGCAATGAATTATTGTCCATCTACCTGAGCATCGATGACGAATACTAAGGCTCCACATCCTCCGAAGATCATATCAGAGTCAAAGGTTGGATCAAAGAAATCAATCTGTCCTGGAAAATCCCATATCTGGAACTGGACAAAGCTAGAGTTGGAGATGTCATCTTTGATGATTTTATTGGTGCTTTCCAAGAACAATGTTTCATTTGGTGACATTTTGTGGAACACCACTTTCTGGATTGAAGATTTTCCACTTCTAAATAAATTACAAAGAAAATGCATACACACTTAAACAATGCAATGCAATCTCAGTCTGGGTGATTGAACTTATGGTTTGTCTTCTTTAATGTTGATTTCCACTGATTCAGTACAAATATGACACAGATTTTCTTCGTTAAAGGGTTCCCTAAATTTAGCATTCAAGTCCTCTGTCCCCAGATCTCACTGCATATCTACAGGATATTTCATTTACTGTATATAAAGAAAGTCTCTCTTACAAAAGGAGAATCTCTTTTATGCAGAGAGAATGAGGTATATGCTGATTTAGATTAAAATTCCATCAACATAACCTTCTTTCTTCATTATGTGTATTCTAGAGTGAGATGTTTCAGTCCATTTTGGATCATCCTCAGGATATACAAATATCGGTGTCCAAAGCAAAATTATGCTTACAATTACTACATATAAATCATTATAATTAACACTGAGTTAAGTTACACAGACTATATTAAATATAAGATGTTATACTTATATTAAAACTGTGAAGATAAAATTATGCAGATAAAAACATCATATCCCTATTTAATGAGAGATAAAATTAAGTTAAATTATATCACCTTAATCTCATATTAAATATTTTGTGAAATGAGAGAAATATATAGTACTTCTGTGGATTGCAGTTGCTATTACTGAATTTGTTTTTGTCAATACTTTTAGTTTATTAGGTTGCTTTGATGTAGATGAGGTGATTAATGAAAATTTGAGCTACGCAATTTTTTAAATGGTGTACTGACAGTTCAATAAGCAGCCATTCCACACTTCTTTAACCAACCTTCTGAGTCCCATAAGAAGAATCCTTGGCTTCTGTTCGCCAGTCAGTGGACCTGGAGGTCCATCTCCATCTTGATCAAAAGGACCATACCCAAAATCTTTGGGAAATGAGCCCACATCATACCCAGCATTGTACTGATCATCCTCATCCTGCTCATAAGACTGCAGAAAGGAAATTAATTAATTACCAGCATTATGGCATCAACAAATTACAAGATAAAAAATCCACGACTTGTGACATTTATACACGTAGGTGCAGCATTTTTCCATTATTTTTAAAGATACACTGTTTGACCACAATTTATTGAAAGTAATGTAAATTGAAAGACAAGTGTTTTCCATTTCTGAGGAAAATTATAACAAAGTTACTTCTTAACATAACACCTGTCAGAATTTGTCCACCAAGAATGTTGCACTCAATTCATAAAACTTTCCATTACACACAGTAACATAATCAGTGATATGGCATTAATCTCTCCATAAATTCTCTATTTGAGATTATTTAAGTATGCCAGACGTGTCTGAAACATTTCGCTTTACAAGTAGCCCATAAAAATAAATCACAAGCTGACAGATCGGGTGAACAGGCTGGCCAAGAAATGTAACAGCAAGAAATTATTCAATAGCGACCTAGTGTCTGGGATTTGTACATGCCTAAATTAAAGAAATTCACAGTCATATTGTTTGCTATAATCATTTTACCAAAGTTTCTAAGAGGGCAAGCCTAACATTTAGCGTTGCCAACCAGTTTTTACATTCTTAAACAGGTTCTTTTATTTTTTTATTTACAGTGTATAAAATGGCTGGGGGGGATCAAATTCAATTTGTTTTTAAGTCTTTGCATTTATTTATCTTCTTTGTTCCTTAAAAACAACAGGCATGCAATTGTTTTCTCAATGTGTTATGACTGAAATTAAATTATTATTGTGTTACACATTTTTTGGAATGTATCATTGATAAACTGACCAAAATCTTTAATATTCTTACACAAAGGTTTGTTTTAATCTTCCAGCAGCAGACGCCACTGAAAGGCAACTGATCCTGTGCTAAGAGTTGTCTAACAAAGCTGATGTTCAGATTGTCAACAAGACATCCCCCCCCAAAGGGGGGGGGAGAGAAAGAGAGAGAGAAGGCATTTGGTTATGGATGTGAATAAAGGATTAAGGAACTACATTAAATTTGATGGCCTCCCATAGCTGACCACTGACAATACAAAAGTACTACACTTTACAATGCTATAAGGCAGTAGTGAAGAAAGTGCAAAATAAAACTGTTTCTCCAAGGAAACAGTGGAGCGTCTGCACGTAATATTTTGGCCAATAAGTCAGAGGAGGATCAACTGCAATACAAGAGCCGAATTGGTGGTTAACAACCAACCAGGTCCTGTCGTTTGACTTCTCTGTTCCCAGATATTACATATGAACGACGATATAAAAAACTGCCAAGTAATATATTTTGCCATTCCAGTAGTGCTACATAAGAAAACAAAACCACTACAATAATCAATTTTCACAGCATACCATGCCAACATGGAATCTGTTCCATATCCATATGATCCATACCACAGGGGAAATGAACTTGGTTTTAAGAATGCAAAATAATGAAAATTGCCAAATACATTAAAGACCAATTCTTAAACACCTTTCAATTACATATTGTAACTGATGTGCTACAAACATAACACACTTTATTATTGGCAGCCTATGGCCTACAAAAATACAGAATTTTTTTTCAAATAGTAAGTGGCCTCGCTTCAGCTCACTCACACTGATCAAGCCATACATTTCCAAACACTGCATTCTGCATGTTAACCATACTAACCTCAACCACGGCCTCTGAACTACCTTCAACACTGGTGCTTTCATTTCCAGTGGTCCTTAAACTTATCTTTATATACCTGCCGAAAATCGGTAAATTTTTTAACGAGTTTCGGAATTACATGGCACGAAATTCAAAACAGAATCAATGTTTTGACATCACACTGGCGACAACCTGTATCGATGTATTTAAAGAAAAATCCCTTCGAAGGTACACCTACCAGCTATAAAAGTATAAAAGTGATGTTCTTAATTTGATGTCATATAAACTCACCATTATATGGTCTGTCTTACTTACAAAAAGTATTTTATTTTTATCGACAAAAGTACAATGAGAAAATCGTACACCTCACTTGATTTCGAATTATCCGCAGAACAGCCACATGAACAAGTATTTTATTGCTGATATTGTACAAGCAAGCATATACTAACTCGTACACGCTCACGAAACAAAACTATGGACATCATATGATCTGCTTCATACAGGAAGTGAATATATACCTTCCTATATTAGTTGGTGCAACAAGTAATAGTTATGCTAGGGTTGAAAACAAAGGAAATAAATTTATACAATTACATCATTAACAGATGTCTCATTTAAAAATACGTTGACAATATTTAGATTTTATATTGACGAAAATAATAACGTTAGCTGCGTGTTTGATCTGCCATCTGCTTTTATAATGTAATGGGCCGGGATCGGTGATAAGTCGGTAAAAGGGTTATCTACTAAACAACACATACAATCCGCACGTGCTAATAGTAAATACAGTAAAACCTCTCTAACTTGGACACTTGCGGTTCCACGATAATGTTTCCAACTTACAGAGGTGTCCAGGATAGAGGGAAAAGCATCTTTTCAAATTGTGGTGTAATGACAATGTGGTAATTGTAGAGTATTATGGAGCCCTTCCCAAAAAAGGAAATTACTGATAAGAAAACCCAAAAGGGTAAATTAAATTTTTACAAATTTTGTTTTCACTAAATTAAACTTGCCTGGATAAGCTCAAAGGGAAGGACACCAATACTTTACGTTTACGACAATGTAATCTAGTTACTTACATAATCTTCTAACTACTGTAGGCTTGCTTGAATTAAGAATTAATGACAATAATAATAATTTAGCTTATATCTTAATTGCATCATGCTTGTGTTTCAATACAATACTTTTATTTTCCGTCGTTTACACAAGCTTATTGTTAAAATCATATAAAATTTCACATAAAATTGTTACATTTTAAAATTGACGACATGTTTCGATATACAATCTTATCATCGTCAGGTCTATCAAAATTAAAATTAAAATCTGGTGTATCTGTTGCTCTGCTTATATTGCTTTTGTTTTTACTCGTTTTTATTACATCTCCAGGCGCGTCTCCTAAAATAAAATCGAAGAAGCCTGGAGATGTAATAAAAACGAGTAAAAACAAAAGCAATATAAGCAGAGCAACAGATACACCAGATTTTAATTTTAATATCACAATACACTGCCTTTTGCTTTTATCTTGGAATTTGTCCATCCTCTTTCTAATTTTCGCCGCAATCCGAATAAAGTTTCAACCATTCATGGTTAACTATGAGAGAAAGCATACCTTTCCAATTTATGTTAACACTGTTTAACTCAGTTGCAAGCACAGTACTGACAAAGTTAAAACTCCAGTAAAGGGTTCAACAAAAGAATAACTATACACTTTCATTGCATTCCAATGATGTGTTCAATATCTCACACCCTCAACCATAAGGAAATCCTCAGTTAGAAGGCATTCATCAGTCAGAAATTCAAAACAACAAAATACTAACTGTAAACGTTTCCCGTAAAAGCATTGAAGCTAAGTGCATATATGTACCTGTCCAACTTACAACAAAATGGGTGACCAAGTTCCAGGATAAAGGGGTGTCCAAGATATAGGGTATTGTGGACATGTAAAATTATAGGATATTTGCCGGTTCCAATTAAAAGTGTCGAATATAGACGGATGTCAAATTAGAGGGGTTTTACTGTACTAACTCTCGAAAGCCGAAATTGTCACAGAGCTTCCTCAATCTTTAAGATTACAAACCATGCGCTCTAATTTCATCCACAAATTTTAATACTGTCCATAACATAATATTTTAACCATAATAATTCTTGTGTATAATCTACATATAATACAGTGAGTTTTGTCAATCATGCTGGTGTGCAGTTATAAAAATTGCCATGTTAATGCTGCCAATCAAGTTTTGACCTTATGGGATATCAACTACAGGTTTATATGTACGTTGCACAGCTGCAACGGTAATATTGTTAAGGGATTCTCAGTCTTACGATTTACATTATAGAAAAGTTATTAGTTCCTTTAGAGGCTAAAATGGAAACCTACAGACATTTCACCAGTTCACAATTTAATGTTACTTTTAAACAAAAGGGCAGTTACTCATAGGTTCCATAAATATTGGTTTAATAGGCAAGCACATATTCTGTGCTCAAAGTTGATTCTGCAAAGGGTTTACATATGCTGCCACCAACAGGACAAACAACTGAAACACAATCTTTATAAGACAATTATTTATTTTAAGATACCGAATAGTCACACACAGAAAACAATGCCGACTCAGCAAGCAGCACCGGGAACTTGTAGGTAGTCTACCCAATTTCATTGCCAGGAAAAGACCCACACAATTCAGCCCTAGAAAATGGAATAGACATTACATGTCCTACCACTGGGCAGAGACTGACACCCTGGTCCCCATACAACATAGCAAAACAGAAGACCAGGGTGAACTCTAATGGGAAAAGGTAAGGCCACACAATAAATGTAATTTATAAATAAATCCTTTTTCTCATTTTCATCATAAGAAGATACAACTGAATTCTCAAGAATAACTAATTTTAATATCATTCATCTTAAGAATAATCCTTAAACAACTGTAAACATAAATTCTCATTCACACATATTCATATAAATTAAACTACCATACAAATATTTAATTAATTTTCTCCATTTCCATTGTGTATTACATTTTACAATCCAACAAAATTATGGTGCAACTAACCAGAGGAGGAAGATAAAGCAACGTGTTAAAATCAATCACCTCAGTTTCTCAATTATGGAGGCCACTGCTCCATTCTCCCTAACACTGCTCCTTGTTATGATCTACGTTGATTTTTGTACAATAGTTACTGCAGTCCCCATCCACATTATAAATGTATTAACAAACTAACATGTTGCCCAAAGTACCAAAGAACATCTCAATGTTATGTTTGGTGAAACCAGTTGCTTTACCTAGACTCATAGTTTATAGTTCAAGGAAAGACAACCAGTCAGAAGAAGCGTGTTCTTTGTCACACCAACCATCTGGAATGGTCACATCTTTTCGACAACTTACTGGTAAGGTACATTTCTGATGTCTTCCATGGTTAGCACATAATACAGTCTGAACGAATCAACCACATATTCAAGTACCAACTCTTCTGCATCCATAAACACGCAACATCGTCTTTACATCCAATGTGGTATCAACGCCTGCTCTGGTTCTGATACATTATAGCTGAACACTTTAAGTGTAACATAAATTAGGTGTCGTACAACACATTCTGTTAATTACCACTTCTTAAGTAAATACAAACTTTATACAAATTAATTTATACATTCAAAACTGAAAGGAGAAGTATTACACTACACATTCTGCTGATTTTGCCTTCTAAAATTATTGCTGAAAACCTCACAAATATAACCACACCAGGACTTCCATCTTCAAGTTTCTTACAGAATCTCTGAAATGTCACAAAACTAATTGGATACGCTGCTAATTTTTTTTATAAATTGCTAGTTCCATTCACAGTTTCTTCTATCACTTCCATTTGGTTCTCCATGTGTTGCGCCCCGTTCATCTTCGTCTTGTAGGTTCCCACAGCTGTTGACCATAGATAACCTATGTTAACTGCACAAAATAAGAAGCCAATGTAACAAGGGGGCAAGTTGTTAAAATATATCAACATAGGTCATCTATGGTAACAACTGCTAGTGATAGGAGAATGGACCAGAGAGTCTCGAGAGGAGGCTGGTCGGAGAGTACTACCTGGGGTACAGCTTTCAGATTTTGACGCAGTGGCACACTTTTCCTATACATAAAGCATAGTCAAGCTGAGATAACACACAACATTAAATACAGTAACTTGCGCAGCATACATGATGCTAACAGTGTGTGTTTACAGGTTTTTGTTTTAACAAAGGTGGGTCCTTTCATTTCTCCTAAAATTTCAGGACAATCCACTGTGACGCCAATACATCATGCAATTTTCAGACATACGCATATAGTAAGTTTCCCACAATACTTACATCTACGCCGCCATATTCATGCAAGGATGAAATGACAGAATGAAGTTCTTCATTATCATCATTTTCTAAAGCTGCAGAGTCTGGAGTTCCTTCTGCCTTTATGTCAATGAACTCAGTTTTAATATTTTTAGGCATCACATCTGCTTCATCACCTGAATCAGGCTCAAACTTCAATTTACCTATGACATTCTGAAAAAGCAATGCAACTGGCCATTATGTACTGATATTCTGCTGGAATTATTGTACAAACAAAATAAAATTCCTACAAGTAAATGAATGTTATGTGATACAAGAGTTACCAAAGAACCTGAACAAAATATGTGAAAAGGCATCTATTCGGCATATCCTTGGCCTGACTTTGGCCATTCGGGCACCCACCGTTTCGCAGATATAAGCATGAAAAGAAATGACTGTGAAATTTATAAACGCTTCTATACAGCATAACCTCAGGCCAATATTGTCGTGACCTTGACCAAGACACGACCTGGCATTGACATGAATATGACCATTCGGTCACCTGCCATTCCTCATAAATAAAGCAACGTGAGTGAGTTATTTTTTCAAAACATTTATAACACAAGAAAATCTTCTACATACAAACATCTTCATTATAATCCAAAGTTATCTCAGTCTCTTCTACAAAATGTGATAGTATATAACTTTTCACTTCTGCCCCCTGTAGATTATGGACCTCAACAGAACTGAACCTCAGTTTGTAACTTACACACATTTAAGCTCGATAATAGCAAAATAATAATAATAAGCCAATACTACATAATGTGTGTCACATATGTAATCACAATTATTCATAAAAACCTGCCAAATGAAGGTATAATACTCAAGGTTACTCTTACTTAAAAACAACAAATGTAAGGACAATTTTCTACTCCTGAAATCAATCCAAAAATTCCTATAAACTTGTGATTTTAATGGCTTTGTCAGCAAGATATGGCAACAGTTCTCGGTGATGAGGCTACAGTAGCAACTGTACACATCACTGACTGTGCAGCCACCGTGACCTGTTGGTGTACATACTTAAAATTGGTTCTGCGAGCATCATGGATGGATTATCACACAGTCTACATGTCTATGAACACAAGCTGCCTAGAAAATATACGAAAGAGTTTTAGGATGCTTTTATGCAATAGAAATAAGACAAGAATGTTATATAATGAGATTACCCTTGGAGTTTCTATTTTACATGATACTCTTTATGATGAAAAGTGTGTTGTCATTTAAGTACTCATGAGTAAGGCTTTCTCCTGCTTTTACAGTCACATCAAATAGAATTAAACCACTAAACCAGTGCATTACATTTCATGTAACTCCCAACAACTGAATGTGTAGTTACTATCCTGAAACTTGTTATCCTAGAAGTTAAGTGCCTTGAACGTTCTTTACGACACCTGCACTAGCCTTGAGGCTCAACCAATGTGCTATTCAACAGGTGCAAAGCATTTCTCCTTGGAACGATGACGCACACGATCACTATGTAGCACGAATATCCAATGTGTGAAATACCACATTGCTTACTGCATTCACAATATTCATATACTAACCTGAACGTCTCTTCAAACTACAGGTGCAGGAACTTCAGGAAGTTTTCTTTCTCGACCTTCAACAGAAATGGATAACGGATCAGCCTCACTATGTGGTGTGGATTCTGTCTTCAAAACAGCTTCACTGGCCTGTAAACAAACTTACTTCTTAGATAATCACAGAATTAGCTGACCTGTGAAAAATACCACTGTTGCACTTATCTGCATTCTTAACCCTTTGCACGCCATAAATTATGTGTATACAGACATTATCTGACAATTTAAATACTCTTTTTAAACTATTTCCCAGTACATGAAGTGCAAAAGAGGGTTAAATGACTACTGGGAATAATTTCTATGGTTTATAATGCCTGTGTCACTGTTTCACTGCTGGGAAATATGATGTGCGTTGGATCACAGCTACTGTAAATTTTCAGGAACTTATCAGGATTTCCATTATGAAATGCAGGTCACTCAATATTTTCTCCACCCTGTGGTACAGCAATTCAAGAATCATATCTGATAAATGTAATTCCAGAGGAAAAAAACGTACCTTCAAACATGTGAATGCAACTCACTATCAGAATGAAATGATTCAGACTTTAAAGTAATAATACATAATAACCTTCTTTGTAAGTGAATACAACACTTAAACCCTCGTACAATGGTGCTGCCAGCAAGAATTTAATTTTGGAGCAAAATGATTTGCTAGTATGGTACTGACACAGCCATCTTGACTGCACATAAGCCTTGAAGCACGACCGATAAAGTATAAATTACACGATCAATTAATAAAGGACAATTCACATAATAATGGATATGTTAAATATATCATTATAGTTAACACT